CTCCTCCGACGGTGATGAAATCTGAATCCTAGCACAGAAAGCTGTGGCCTCCATTCCCACGCAGGGGAGCACAGAGGCCTGGGCGAGGAGACGCACTCTCACGGGCCGCACGGTGGGTCGGCTGCTGAGCTCACGCTCCAGCCCACGTCTGCAGGCGCCCAGGCCAGCCGGCTCCTGCTTCCTGCCAAGGTGGAAGCTTCTAGAACAACAGTGCCTGGGTTCTAGGTTCTCCAGACATTGCCGGGATGCTTACCAACTATGTGCGTTAGGAAGTTACTTGACCGCTTGGTGGTGCCTGAACGCCATCATCTTTAAATACTGGGTTAAAGTAGCAACTTCTTTGTGGGGTCCTTTTAACTATTAAAATGGTGAAAGAAAATTGTGCATGTGTGTACGTGTGGCTCAGATAGCACCCAGCGTTTGGGAAGAACTTGACAATGGTCATTACTATTCTCTTACGGTTTTGTACCAGCACTTTACATTCGAGGCCACTTCTGACTGTGTTCTGACTATTGAGAGGCAGGTGTGAGCGTCCCCATTTCATGGAAGAGGAGACTGAGGCCGCCTCAGGAAGACCTTGTCATGAACGCAGGAGTCCGGGATGTGCCCGCGGGAGGCGTTCCTTTAGGGACCTGCTCTTGGGTGCACTGGCTGCCCTTCCCGCAGGTCCACAATGCACTTCTCCTCCAGGCTTTGGGCAGAGTTTGGGTCCATCCGGACTGGGCGTTCAGTGGTGAATGGGCCTGTCTCCTCCTCAAGGAGAGAAGAAAGCCCTTGGAGGCAGAAGGATGGGGTGGGTGAGGCAGAAAAGGGGGGCAGAGGCCACAGAACTCTGAATGACTTGCAGGTGTGTGTCAGGGGGGAAGGGGGTAGCCACACCACGGTCCCTTCTCCTTGCAGATCTCTGAGGCTGTAGCTGTGGGCTGCAGGGTAAAGGTTTTTCCTGAAGCCTCACCAAACCTCAGGAGAACATCGCCCCTTTTCTCCAACTGTAATTATTCCTGGGCTCAAAGTCCAGCATCGCCACATACTCCTTCTCTGAGCTGGTAACTAACCAGACTTCCCTGATCCTCACCTTCTTACCCATACATGTGAGCGGGTAATCCTGACTCCCCGGGGAGTGTGCCTCCAGATCAGTGGTGCTCAACTTTGGCTGCACACAGGGTCACCTGGGAAGATGGAATTAACTCTGATGCCCGGGTCTAACCCCAGAGCTGCTCAGTCCATTGTCCTGGGGCGTGGCCTAGATTTCAGGATGCGCAAAAGCTCCCAGGTGATCCTACTGTGCAGCCAAACACTGGGTGCCTCTGCTATCCCTGTGCCAGGTGCCCAGTCAACACTGTCCCCACTCCACGTCCGGGTGAATTCCATTTGTAAAGACCTTGTCCCTTTCTCAGTTCGGCTCTGCCACCCCCACGCATATTGTCACTTTCAAAACGGATGACTCAACCCCCGCCATGGGCCAGGCCTGCATCGAGCTCTGCTCCTGTTCACTGGAGAGAGCCAATTGGTTAAGACACACAATGCCCTCCCGGAGACGCCAACGAGACAATCAAACAGACGGAATGATCCATTGTTCACTCTTCAGCCAGGGAACTCCATCATTTGCCTCCAAATCCATCTCGTCCGGTGTGCAAATGCTCTCCTGATAAAACCCCGGGTGTTTCTCCCACCTGTGCCCATGGTATACGCTCCCCCTCAGGCCACACACACACACACACACACACACGCCTGTGTATAAACGCCCATCTCCATCCCGCATGGACTGCGCCCATGTCAGGAGACATGCCCTCACAAGCACTCACTTCCAGCCACGCCTCCCCGAAGACTCTGCAGCAGGCGTGCTGCTTCCCAGAGCCCTCCCTGCTCTGCACACGCATGCCCCTCGCCTTAAATGCCCTTCCCTCCCATGGGCTACCTGGAAGGTTTGTACTCACCTTTAAAAGCCAAATTCAAATGTCCTCTGCAGCTTACCTCACCTGTCCCCCCATTCCTTCCCCTCCCCCCCAGGATTACGTTGTCTCCACCTGGCTCTCACCGTCTGCACTGCTCGGCAAGAGCCTTTACCATGCTGCACACATTGGTAGGGATGCTGTAACCTGTCTTTCCATAAACCAGTTTCCAGCACAGGGACAGGCCCTTCACATGTGCTAACTAAATGCTGGTTGGACCACATCCGATTCTCTGTCCCCAAATCTGCAGCAGTCAATTTCTGAAACATCTCCCCAAAATAATCTCGGCCACCTTTCAGAAGCTGATTATCAGTGTTCATCTGCCAGGATCAACCCTTAAAAAGGAAGACATGTGAACCAGACAAATGAAGGCACACTCACCACAGATCTGAAAGCACACAGGTGACGTCATGCCTTCGGGAGGAATGACTGTATGGGACAGGAAAGGGGCCGTGTTTGGCTGACGCAGAAGGAAAGGGTCTGGGTGGGATGTTCTGCCACTTTATTTCCTGGGCCGGGAGGAGGGGCTGGCGGAGAAGGGACGGCCCTACCTTTTCGGGAGCGGGCAGCTGCAGGTGATTCACCTCCAGGGGGGTGATGAGAGGGACGGTCTGGAAGCCATCCTCCACCGAGGGCGGCTTGGCGCCCTTCTCGCCCGGGGTGCCGCTCAGCTTCACCATCCTTGTGCCTTTCTTCCCGGACCTAGGCGAGCAGTGGGATCTGGTTACGGTGGCGGCGAGGCGGGGAGAGGAGTAGCGCTGTCCTCAGCAGCCCACCGGCGGCTTTCAATGGAGAGAGCAGGCATTGATCTCCCGCTAGACTTCCTTACACAATTCCCAGGACAACTTCTTTAATCATCAAAATACGCCATCTGCCCACAGGGCTCGACAGCCCTCAAATTTGCGAACATCCCAGGTGCACACACACAAAATATATACAAGCTTAAGAGTGTATCCCAGACGCCAGAGCGAAGGCAGGCGTAGGATCTAGGGAGAAGCTTAGAGTGCACAATTAAATCCTGTTATTCCGGGTCACCCTGCAGCATGACAAATTTCTCCCTACCACCCTGGCTGCTATTTCATTCTCTTGGCTTTTCTTCAGCAATCTCCCTGAAGCACAACAAATATCTTCACTGTCTCTATGGGGAGTGGGCCCTTTTATGTAACGTGTATCTTGTACAGAAGATACAATTCCCTAAAACAAACAAAAAGGAACCGGTTTGAACCTGACCCTGTTATTCAGCCACGAATGCCTCCATTTCCTCAATAGCAAAGGGCCATTTTTTATTTTATTTTTTGCTCCCACGGAAAGTTAGCAAGCCCGGCATTGCAAGATTGCCAACAAGATCAACACATCGCATGTATTCCTCTCCGGCTCCCACCCCACCCCCAGAAGCCCAGCGCTGAACGTCTCCTGTCAATCCCGCCGGTGGAACACCATGAGACAAAATAGGGTTGTTGCGGGGGTGAAGGGATGGCGGAGGGGTGGAGGGTGTTGGGGAGTGGTTAGAGCAAAAACAAATGCCTACTTACTGTGCTGCCCTCTTGGGGGTCCGAGCAGATTCAAGCCAATTTGGAGAGCAGGAGCGCGGCCAAGAGTCCTCCCGCCTCGGCCGGGCTCGTGGTGCTGAAAGGACAGCGCCTTGCGCGTGTCTGGATCCGGGAGCTTCTGCGAGCAGGCGCTGCCAGGAGCGAGCGGGGATGAGCTGCTGGCAGCCGCCTGCCTGCGCGCTCGCTCGCTCGCCCCCTCCCACCGGGGACCGGGCTCCCACACCATCTGTCATCTGGCACCACCTGCTGTTTCTCATGCATGGCCACAACCAGCGCGGGACAAAATGGTTTCGAGAAAGTGGCAGGGATTCTGGTCACACACGCACATAAAATGTAATACACCCCGCAACGGGCCATCCCCGCGCCTGTAGGAAAACTGGAAAAGCACATTTATTGGGAAAAGCACCGCCTCTGAAGATCTCCCAGAACCATGCCGTGAGGCACAGGGGCTCAGGCCCTGCCCTGCTCGCCCTGCCTGCGGGAAGGGGAAGGGGGGGGGTGTATTTATTACCTCCCATGCAGAGGGTGGGCACGCTCCAGGCTCTTTGGGACCACCTCCCTCATCTGCACAATGTAGTGCCTGCAGGAGGGGGCTGGTGGGAGGTGTGAAGGCGATAACGTGGGAAAAGCATTTAGCTCGGAGCAAGCAGTGCACAAACATAAACTGCTGTCCTCGCAATGCGCCGGGAGCACACGGGTCACATAAGGTCACAGAACACCAGGAGCTGGGATTTGAGCCCTGATCCCATGCCCCGCGCAGAAGTGGACACAGGCGTTTCTTGGGAGAAAGGAAGGGAGCATTTCCCAAAGCGGACAGGAGTGCTGAGCAGTCCCAACAACAGGTACCTGTCACCACAACCCCGCGCCCACAGTTCCAAGTTCCCGGGCTTTACTCTTGACCTAGTAAAACGCCCTTAAGGCAGTGTATGGCCCAGACTGGATGAAACGGACACACTTGTTCTTCTGAGCCTCATCTGATCATTCTGGGAGGCTTTCACCATCAATTACTTACAAAGAATGTTTTTAAATCTGTGTTTTTAGCATAAAATTAGATGCATTGTTTTCACTTGAAAATTTTAATTGCTATTTATTGTTTCTATGAGTTTGTAACCAGTTTCCTGAATAATTTTGAGTGTAGTGTGGGACTTAAAGATACAGTCTTTGGAACCAGACTGTCTGGGATTCCCCCTTCCGCCACTTGCTAGATTTGTGACCTTGGGTAATTTTGTAACCTCTCTGTGACCCAATTTCCACATTGTAAATTGAGGGTACTATTGGGTTGTTATAAAGATTAGATGAGTTAATATAGGCAAGGTGCTTAGAACAACATCTCTAAGTGTAAAACAGATATCTACTCTTACTCAATTATTAGATAAGCATTTTAAAGAATCATCTCTTACAGCAATCATTTTTAAGTTTTCTAATTTACCAATTTATGCTTTAAAAAATTATTTTCTTCTCCCTCATTTCCTGAAGTTTATCTCATTTTTCTCTTTTGAACTTCCTGAGACAAATTTCTAGTTTATTGATTTGCCTTGTCCCTGTCTGGTAATGAAAGAAACTATGCTCTTATTTTAAATTACTTCTGAAATATTTGCTTTTTCATTACAGTTCCTCAGTTATTTTATAACTAAAAATCTGCTTCTCTGACTCCAGTCATTCAGTAAAATAAGTTTTTCATTTTAATTTCTAAATGCTATTTTTCTCATTGCTAATTTATCTCTTTTAAGACTAGTTTCTAGTTTTATTGCATGTGGTCCAAGAGTGTTTTCTGTATATTCTCTGCTTTGGGGAGTGTATTACATTTTCTTTGTGGTCTAAGATATGAACTATTTCTGTGAAAATTCTCTGAACGTAAGGAAAGAAATTATATTCTATAGAAATATAGATTTTTATACACAACTATTAAATCAAGTTTGTTAGTTATTTAAATCTTCTGTACACTCATTGATTTTGTTTTTACTTGCTTGACCTGTCAAGGAATTAGAAAGGGGTGTTGTTATGTGCCATTACTGTTGTGACATTTCTCCTTGCATTAAAGCTATGTTATTTGGTACATTAGCCTCACAAGTTTGCATCTTTTTGTGAGCTTTGCTTTAATGAACGTAAAAGAATTTATTTGTCCATTTAGTGTTTTGTGATTTGAGTTCCTCTCTATCTAAAATACAGTTGCGAACCCTTCCTTCTGCAGATCCTATTTGTTCTTCCCAGCCTTTTAAAATTGCACTTTATTTCTTGGCTAGGTCATTTTAAGGAACCTTTTTAACAGGGGAATTTAAATACTTATAATTAAGTCTGACAATAAGACAATTGTCTTACATTTTTTATTATTTCTTGTGATTTCCTTCCTTGTTTTCTACATACACTTTCCCCCCTAGCTACTTGGGACTCATACGTGGGGTGTTGTTCTTTTTTCCCCCTTTGGTGATTTTTTTAAAAAAAATATATGTTTATTGATTTCAGAGAGGGAGAGGGGGAGAGAGACAGAAACATCAATGATGAGAGAGAATCATTGATCCGCTGCCTCCTGCACGCCCCCCACTGGGGATTGAGCCCACAACCCAGGCATGTGCCCAGACCGGAACTGAACCTGTGACCCTTCAGTCCCTAGGCCGACGCTCCATCCCCTGAGGCACGCCAGCTGGGCTGGTGATTTTTTAATGTCAAAAACATCCCTGAACTGACAGCCACCTCTCCGCCTGAAGAATAAAACAAATTCTTTTGATCTCCTCCCACGGAAAAGAGATAATTCTCACACATTCGTGTCCTTATCCCGCTTCTCCTTTCCCATGCCCACCAGAGGCTAAGCCTGTCTGTACTTTCACTGGTGCCTTTTTCACATTTTATTCCCATTCCCTGAGACACTCCTGTCAGAGCTGGGAGTGGGAGGAAAGTGAACAAATGCGAGTCTTTTTCCAAAGGACCCAGAGGAGGAGGCTTTCTGTGAAAATAATTACTTTACATACATGCATGTCAGTGAGCCGGGTCTTCTGTGATCAGTGTCATCGCGTCTCAGCACTGAGTTGTGCTTTGTCTCCATGTATAGATATATCTCCAATGAAAGAGATGATAAAAGCACTTTAAATGTCTCATTATAAATCACGCTGTCAGTTTAAGAATGTTATCCCAAATTTAATGGTGTGGTAGAAATATAAGCCTTTTAGGAATCTGTTCTAAGACTCTCCCAGAGGCAAGCATAAAGGGAAGCTATGCTCAGACTCTTGCTAGGAGCTCTATATTTAAATTTCAAATAACAGCAGACAGAGAGCTATGAAAAGCATGAGGTTCTCTTGCCACTTAAAAAGGAAATGGGTCATTGCGGACTTCGGACTTAAAGGGGGAAGGACAATGGCGAGGCAGAGGCCATGGCAGAAAGGCTAGTTCCAACTTCTCCTCTGAGTGGCTGGAAGGGCTGAGGACGGGCCTGGAAGTGACGGAGGCAGGCCCTGAGGGTGAAACTGACATCAGCTCACACAAGCAGGATGACGTACAAAGAGCTCTTCCCAGAAAGCCTGGGGATGCACTGGGGAAGAAATAATTTGATGAGAATAACAGGCTTTTTGAGAGAGGTTTTGTATTTTGCCTAGAACTTTGTCTTTAAAAGGCATTCGGAGGCTCTCTTCCTGTTAATGATCCATTCAGCTGTCTCTTCAACAAAAGCTGTCCAGTCTGTGTTGTAAAGTTGAGTGGAAAGTTTGGGTTGCAGAACAGGTTCCCCCAAAAGCCAAAGCTGAGAGCTTGGAATGCAGGCGTTCACTGGGAGAGCGCTCAGGATGAGCGGGGAGGAGAGGAAGCAGACTCCTCAGGCAGAGAACCTGAACGGCAACATAGTCCCAACAAAGCCCTCAGCCGTCTCCTGGGTCCTCTGCAGCTAGGCTGGCCCTTTGAGGTCATCCTTCAGAGAGATTGGGTGCCCTTCCCCAGCAGGTTAAGACTTGGCAAGGTGGCTGTCCTCAGCCTAGGGCAATACCTGGACAGGGGTGACAGCTCAGTGCCAGCTAACAGCAGAGGGACAAGACTTTCAGTCCTGAAGGTGATCTACCTGGGCAGCGCAGCTCCCATCGCGGGCTCTGCTCCAGGCTGTCTCCACACCATACTTGACAATCACACCTCGTGACTTCAAATACCATTCAGATGCCAATAACTCTTAAATGTGATCTCCAGCAGAGAGATTTCTTCTGGACTTGATAGGGGCAGAAATAGAATGTTGGGGACCAGCTAGAACTGTGAGAAATATTAATCACGCTCTGTTAACCATGATGGTTTTGTTCTGATTATTGAAGGCACATTCTAACCTGGCTGGGAGTTGCACCAGGGACCTGGGAGCTCGTCTGGAGAAGCGGCCCATTGTCATGGACAGATGACCAGCCTTGTTGCAGAAACCAGAGCTTCCGGCCCTTTGAAGACCCCCAGTCGTTGCTTACCCACAGGCCTGTGCAAATCTCCAGCCTGTATTCCCTGTAAACTGCCCATCTGGCATATCATTTTGCCTACTTCCTTGTGTAATCTTTGTCCTTTACTCAGTATAAGCAGCTGGCTTATGGGGGGTGGGGATGGGGAGGGGAGACAGAGGAGATATTTGTGGGTGACCTGCTGCTCTCATATTGCCTACCTGACAAGCATCACCTCCTGCCACTCTCCCCCTCCCCTGACCCCAAACACACACTCCTCCCCAACCCAGACTTTCAGCATGAAAATGGCGCCCTCTTCAGGGAATGCTCTTTCCACTCCTCCCATGTCCGAGGGTCTTTCAGAGCCACTTAGACATGACTCCCTCAGAGAAGTCTCCCCAAGACCCCAGACTATATTTGGCTTCTCATGCACATGCTCCCCTTCATACTCCATTCTTCTGTTGAAATGTGATCATTCTTTAAAACTGCATGATTATTTGTGTAATGGTGGTTGGGTAAGAATCGGGATTGAGTTCTTGCAACCTCCATGTTAACCAGTGGGTGGATGAGTACATTTTGGTTCATTCATTTTGAATACTATTCAGTCATTAAAAATTATGTCATGGAATGTTGCAATATGGCAAATGTTTATAATGTTGAGTAAAAAGAATAAAATTGTATAAACATCTCAACTATGCGAAAATATAAAGATTTAAAGACACTAAAATGTTTATAGGGTTTTTCCCCTAGATGTTTTTATGGGTGATTTTCATCTTTTCTTAATACTTTTTTTTTTGTCTCCCCAAACCATGTTAA